TCAACAGGTGCTTTAAAATCTCTGTTTTTAAAAAGCTGGTGAAGGAGTTTCGCTCGTCCAAGTTCCACCATCTGGATCCCATTTAGGCTCCAAAATATGTCACTAATGCAACATTTTAACGCCCACGGTGGCGAGATTTCAGCTCCAGTTGCCAAACTGGGAGGAGATAAAGGCGAGGCGCTCTTACTGATTCAAAGTCCAATTAATGTGGAGCACCAAAAGCAAAAATGGGCTGAAAATAGTTCCTTAGATCATAGTAGTCACCTCTATATTAGGCTGAAGTATGAAGTTTTATATTAGAGTTTGAAATGGCGAGACAGTGGTCTTAATCTGGTCATGGTCAGATGTTGGTGGAGGAATGAGGTCTGTAAGATCCAGAAGACCGTCGCAAATCCGTGACATGACACTCAGGATCGAGTTCGTGGTTATTCTAGCAATCTCAAATCTGAGACATCATTGTTACGGATGATAACAGTAATATTCCTGAGGGACCATTCTGTCCACGAATCGAGTGCTAAACCTGTCCGAAGCTAGACAGACAATTGAGGCCGTGTCAGGGGGGGCAGATGAGTCCACAATTGGGAAAACGCCGGGCTCCAAGTGGCGGTGCAATCATTGGCCATGATAGAAATAAGGGGGGTTAACGGGCATGGCTCCAGTTTTCAATCGCTGCCTTGCAATCAGAGCGCCGAGAAGTCGAAAGGTGCCGGGGAAGTGATTCGACAAATGACATCTTATTGTGCAGGAGGGACACAAACAGGCGGGGAATACTTGTTGATTCCCATGTTTGGGTGTGACACGTGTGAAGAGACGGGCGCAGAAATATTCATCGAGACTCTGGAGCTGCTTTCAGACTCCATTATGACCTGGGAATTGTCTCATAACCTTTGTCCTCTTTATCCTCCATCGCTGAGACGGTTTCTATCCCCAGTTGTGCACAAACTGGAGCATCACACGGCGATAGAATAAATCCCATTTGCTCGGATATTGTGTTCATACAGTATTTATGGAAACATAAGAAAAATGGGGCCTGTGAGGATAGGTGTGAGATAATATCCTTATCCCGTTTCCAAATAGAATGATGCCTCAGTGGAAATTATACACCAGCTATGACCATTTATTCGAGATTTTCCCTTTTTTCCTTTCACTCTTTCATCTATTAGTCTTTTTGGTCTTATCTCTGTCAACCCACCGCCTTTCCTTCTTGGTTTCTTACCTTTTACCCCTTCTCTGTGCTTCTCTTTTTGGGTTTCTACTCGTGGCACTGAGAGGGAGTTTGGTTTCCTGCAAATGCTGACAACGCCAAGAGGTCTACAGCCACGAGATGAATCCAGTTGTCACTCTGACAGGTGGATTCGCATGCCCAGTACAGAGCCTGATCTCTCTCTAGACTAAGCTCAGTGCTCCTATTGTACTAAGATGTCCAAATTGGAGAAGAATCGGCATTAATCCGCTTTTATCGTCGAGAAATCAATCAAAAGGTTTAATTTAGAGCTCAGCAGTCAATATCAAGGTATCTGTCCATCACTTTTCCTGCTTATATGTCAGCGCTGAATGCTAATGACGTGTTGATCAGGTGTGAGCTTGTAACGGAACCGAACTAGACGCTCGGGAGCTCAGACGCCGTTAATGAGTCACTTGAGCGGCACCCTTTCTGAGGGTTTTAGCAGTTTCCTCTACCTATTAATAAGGTCATCCATCAAGGAGAAAAGGTTCCCGTCAAATAATTATGGTAATAAAGCCAATTAAAATGACCGTCCATTTTTCTGAATACAGACAAGCTAATTAAATATATATTAATGAGAGGCTGCCCCCGGCGATTGAGTGTCACCCACAAATGTTTCAGTCTGGACACAGACGGTGTCCCGGAGGTCAACAGGAAAAAGACACTGTAGAAAAATGGGTGAATGTCATTGGTTTATCAGCCAATCTAAGCAAGACGACGACAACTTAACCCTCGGAGATCCTTCATTTATCGACACTCAATCAGATCAAATCTGACCCGTACGGGTTTGACTGTATAAAAGCATGATAACATATTTCATCTGCTTTGTAAACCAATCAGAACAATCTATTGACACCAAGTTTATATCTACTGATGGAATTTTTGGTAACACTTATCATGATAATATGAAATAGAACCTCATTCATGATTTAATAAAAAAACAAAAAAAAAAAAACAGAAATCAAAGATTATGTTGGTTTTTCTGAAATTATGATGGATTATCAAAGACTGGAATATGTCAAAGCTCCATGTCACTTTTTTTTAATGCCATTTCTTGTTTATTGCTTGTTTATATCCAACACCCAATCAGGGAGAGGCGGATTCAGATTTTTTCCCCACTTGTTTGTCTTCCTGCAGCTTTGAAGCTGATGTCCGTTTATGCAAAATATTGGGACATACTGCTCGACAGCATCACTCAGTACCATCCTGGGTCAAATTTGACTCAAAGGTCAAAATGTAATGGGATCCTCCTGGGGCTGAGACGCACCTCTGGTGAAAATTTCAGGTCAATCCGTCTGTAACTTTCTCCGTAAAGTTGATAACAAACAAACAAACAAACAAACAAACCAACGCTACTGAAAACATAACCTCCTTTGCGGAGGTAATAATGCAGAGGCAAGTGGTGATGGGAGGTTCAACACTTTGTGAGAGACTGCATGAGTGAAACGTTTCAGAATTATGTTCCTTAATGTACGTTTCAAAAGGTCAACGTCAAAAACATAATCGTCAAGTTCTCAGGCAGCACTGCAACAAAACTCCAACTCTGTAGTGGAAGTGACCGTATGGGCTCTCAATCACTTCCAAAAACACTTCCTATGAACACAGTCCATCGCTACAACCTTTTTTGAACTCACATTTCTCATCTTCTACTCTGAGGACCACCTGGCTCATTATCAGCCCACCATCCAAACACCAGCATCCTTGATGGTACTGGAAGTGCGTGGGCAGCTTCTGTGAAGGCGACATCCATGCTGAACAACATCTACAGGTTTTAGACTTTTCATATTTTACTCAGACAATGCCAAACCAGATTCCTACAACAGCATGGCTCTATAGTAAAAGAGTCCTGGTGTCAAACTGGTCTGCCTGGACTTCCTAAGGCCAATCAATCAATCAAAGTAGACCCTGACCTGTTACTGAAGTAACACTGGTGTTCACCTCTGGCACCTGGTTTGACTCCTGTTTTGCACTTGAGCTTTTTGTGGACGAGTACAAACAGACACATGTTTGTTTTTAGCTGTTTTTGACGCCTCCACTGTCTCACAACTTTTCTCTAAATCTGGACATTCATCTGTCTGGAGATGAAGTCAGAGTTGTCTGTTCTTCTTTAAGACAATAAACTCACGGAGAAGTGGGCGAGAGGTTTGTCGATGTCGATCCCTCTGAAATTCAGAATTTCCTCTGGTTCAAACAAACGCTATAGATCGATCTAGTCAAAAAAAAAGGCCGGCTGAGATCAGCTGATTATTTCCCTGGCCCTGTTTGAGCGCCCTGGGATTGGGCAAACCCACGAGTGATGGGAGACTTTTTCAGCTTCTGTGGGAGGAGGTGACTCGATTGAGTTTGGCGAAGAGTGATTCAGTAATAAAACCCAAAGGCCTTGGAGGCAGTATCTGATTTCCAGGCACTGCTGAGGGAAGTCTCGTAGGTTGTTGGTGAGTGAAGTTCGGCGTTTGAACGCTACAGACGGATGAGAAATACGGCGTGAGTGTACAGAGGTCTACATGAAAGATTCGTCAATATGAATAATCATGATCTCTGAGTTTTATTTACCAATACTGAGCATTAATGCATCTTATTCTAGAGGAGTCGCCTCAAACACGCTATGAATGAGTGTGGGCTTCTGTCAGGAGAAAGAGTCTCCCGGTGAAGGTATGTAGGTGTTTAGCCCGTCAGATTTACTTAAACATAAAGAAAAGGTTTCCTTTTGATGCCACTCTACCTCCATTGAACACTCCTCTCCTCCGTGTCTGAGGAAAGAAAGCAAGGCGAATAAAAATAGAAGTAATCCGCCTCTTTGTTCAGCCATTCTCCTACCTTAGAAAGACTCCGCTTATTAGCATTTCTAGCGCACAAAAACCACAATAATCGGGACTCTGGTTAGCGAGTCTTAGCTTGTCAACAGAGCGGTGTGTGGCGCGGGAAGGATGGGCACACACGAGGTGACGCAGAGGTTCCCGTGGGTGGCAGAACGGTTGCTATCAGACTCACGCTGGTTGTCACAACGGGGGCAAACCCTTCAACAACTGCTCATTATCAGGCTGACATTAAGTATGCGCTGGCGGAGCATTTAAATGCGTACACAGGAAGTGATTAGCCGCTTTGCTGGTGAGTCAGGGTTAGGTCCTGTGTCAGGCTGCGAAATTCAAACCCGGTGTTGAAAACGTGGATTTGCTTGTACCAGTTTTTAGACATTTTAGACGGTAACAAGAAGTGACACAAATAGAAACAACTGACAGACTTCTGCAGAGATCTATTTTCAGTGGCTTTTGATTATCTTTGCTCTCCAGCTCTGAGAGGCTGGACACTTTCCTCTCCCCGGACTACAATTTCATCCACACTTCTGACTAAAGGTTTACTCTGTGAATTGGGACCTGAATCCGGTCTCATTTTTTTCGCAGGACGCAGGGTCAGGAGCAGATGACTGGAGCGTGATTTTTCTTAAGAGCTTGTGTCAACGCTTTTTCCCTCCGGCAATAAGAGAAAACTTTTTTTTTTTTTTGTTTCTGCAGTTTCCAAACCCTCAGATGTTCCCCAAAGCTCGAGCATAAGTCCCCAAAACAAAGTAATGATTTACAATGCTGCTGTCTCTTAGCACAAAATATACACAATTGTGTTTCATCCCCAGCTGGGAGCTACTGCTTGTTCTTTGAGCAGAGGCTGTTATTTGCTCTCAGCTGGCTTGTCTGACTTTTTCTGACAATATGCAATTCTGCCAGTCGGTCCTCCCAAAAAGTACAATTACATGTTCTCAAAAAAGGATTTGACTGCGGCTTCATTCAAAGACAAAAAGCTTCGAAGTACAAGAAGGTTTTCTACAACACGTCGTTTTCAACTGCATCAGGGGGAGTTTTTCCGATGTTGTTCGGAGACTCACGTCCGAAACCTTCAAAACAGAGTCAGAAAAACGGTTTTCCCCGTGCGATGCATCAAAGCTGATCTCTGAGGTGAGCCGTCTGCCTCGCAAAGGACCGAGTTCTCTCACTGCGGCGACGCCGTCATTACCGTCGGGATTGAAATGGCACGGTGGTGGGCTGATTGTTCTCACGCCGCATCCAGCCAGGAGCTGTGACACGGCCATTATCTAAGGCCTTTGGATTAATTCAGTCACAAAGGAGAGGTCAGCGGCTCCTGCCAGGCCGGCGAGAGAAAGCTCTCTCGGGGGGATTATGCGAGGCGAGGACCGGGGCGAGTCAGAAATGTCTTCTTTCAGCCTTTCTCCGATGAAAGTCACAGGTTTCAGGTCAACAGCCTCCCTAATTGTGATGGTATGTCCCGTGACAATACCGGCGCCGACCATTAAAGCTGGAATTTCCAGTTAAATGAAATTCCCTGAATCGCTCTCATTTTCCGAATCTGTTTCTGAGTGGGATAATACTTAGCTCTCAATTACACTATGAATTGGATTGGCTTCTAAATCCCAATTACACTGAATGGGGTGATGAATACCAATCAAAGAACAAGGCAGGATTTCACGTGTTCCCATAATGAGTCTATACATGCCTGAATTGAATTACACTGGAACTTCATACAGCTCATATAGCTGCGATCGGACGGCCAAGAAGTGACATGCTCAGCCAATTAAAACAGAATAATAGCTTCCTCCATTCATAAAAAAAAGCCCAACGATGAGAGAAATGAGAGTTTTACTTGAAGAATCGGGATAATCATTAGTACAGTTTTCATTCCTCGGGATTTCTCAGGGAAAAAAGAAGAAGAAGTCTACATCCGAGCTAATGGCGTTCACTTCTCTGATCTTGAGATCAGTGCTTCAAAGGCTCAACCTGTATTACTCACTCCCCAGCTTGTCCAATTCCTCTCACTCCAGCACACTTTTGTGTTTCTATTTCCCTTTCTACCCATCACCCCTAATTCGGCTCGAGTCGGAGCCTTTCATCTTCCTCTTTTCTCGCTTCATTGTGCGATGAATTGCCTGTTCACCTTTTCCGATTCCTTTTCGGATGTCATGTCTGTCTGTTGTTCACTCTTTTTCTATCTCCGTCGCTCTCTCTCTCTCTCTCTCTCTCTCTCTCTGTCTCTCTCTCTCTGACACTTCTGTGGTTGTCCATGCGATGCATCTGACAGAAGCTGCCACCAACTGTCACAGCGGTCTGGCCAACCAGGGAATTTGGGATGCCAAGGCCGGGCGCCGCTGAGTGAAATCACGCCAGTTTAAATACAACTCAAACTTTCTCTCTCGCTCACCGTTCTGTCCGATCCTTCCAGCGCTGTCAGACATTATTTCTACACCGGGGGTCAGGAGGTAAAACCTGCTCACTCAACAGGCACTGACATCTCTCTTTCAAAACAGCAAAGACTTTTCAAAACACTCCAAATATCGGACAGCAGCGAGCTCATCCAGTCTCTTTTAAAGCTTTTGTTAAAGCTTTGGGCGAGATCTTTTACTTTTGATCAGGATCAGGGGAAAGATTAAACTTAAAAAAGGACTGGAGTCGTGATCTGTCCGTGCTCAAAGTGAACGGGCAAAGGCTAACAACCTGGTTTATTATCTTAGTTTGGCTAAATGCAGGCGGGACATTGTTGCAAAAGCTTGGTTAAGAGGAAAACTGGCTTTTACACAAATCAGGGTCTCTGTGGGTTTCAACAAGTCAAATTTGAGACTTCTTTAAGACCATAATAAATACAATTTATGACTCTTTTTACATCCATACAGGCAAAAAAGTACTCAAGACATGAAGGGAAATTAAAAATTTTACATTACTTCAAAACAAATAATTTTTTCTTTGTATGGCACGTTATTTATTTGTAACATCATTCATTTTTAAGTCCTTTTAAAATTGTGTTTAAGACATTTTTTGAGGTTTTTAAGTCGCTGCAGATACCCTGACAAATATGACATTTTGATTCGGATGTATCCTCTGAGGACCCCGAGGTTCCATGTTAATTTCTCCAGAAGTTTCCCTTCTGACTAGCAATGTTGAAGTTACAGTGCTCCAAAAATGATGGTCCGGAGTTCACGCCAAGACCAAGATTCCTCCTCAAGGGAACCAGACTATCCTTGCAAACTTTCATGGTGTTATATCCACAAGTTCAAAATTACTGGTACCACTGGGAAAAGTCAGAGAATCACAGATAAAGAATCAACCTCAGGGGGGCAGGAACATCCCTGCAAAATATCATGGTGTTTAATGTAACAGTTTTCCAGATATCTATCCATAAATGACCAAAAAAAAATAAACTCTTGCTACCTGTGAGCAAAATCTGAGGATAAACAATGTAACTAGGAGTCAGCCTCTGGAGAGCAAGATGGTCCCTGCAAAATATCCCGGGTCTGGGAGCCATCGAAATGACCAAGAATCATCCTCTGGGGATCGAGGATAGTTTGCCAAATATTTATCCCTGATGCACAAATGTGAAATGTGAAACTCCTCTATGATTCATCCTCTGAGGAGTAAGATTATCTTCAAAATCTTTTGGTGTTGTAGTCAGTATATTTCTGGGCATTTATCCCTAAACTCCTCATGTATAAGTTTAAGTCCCAATAAGATAAACCCAGAAATCACATACTATGCTGGGAGTCAACCTCTGGAGAGCAAGAATATCTTTAGAATCTTTTCATTGTGACATCCGATAGTTTTCCAGATCTTTACCAGATTCATACAAACTAGCGCTGGTAGGAAAAAGTAAGGGGATCAACTAATTCAACCGCAGAATCCTCTGGGGAGCAAGAATATCCTCAAAAAATTCACAGTAAGAAACGCAAAGGTCAAAGATATTCGCCCCTTGGATAGCAAATGTTAAACGCATGCACCTCAAGTGAGGGACTATAAATTAGTAATGCTGCATGGATGTATCCTCTGAAGACCATGAGTGTACCTCCTAAATTATTTTTAGGTGTTTACTTTGGAGATTTTTGATATTCGGTTCGCAGCGAGCACTGTGCTCCAATCCAGCGGCTTTGCTCGGTATCCCTGCTTCACTGACAGGCTGTGTTGACATGAAAAAGCCACTTAACCTAAGTTTAAAGTGTTTACTTCAAAAAGCCTTATGGAGAAAAAAAAAAGGAGTAAGAAAAGCTTCGGACAAAAGGATCCATTATGTTAATGGATAATTTACAACCAGCATGAAAAGCGTTTATGTGACTGTAGCGTCATAAATCAGGCCGGCGGAGGCTTACAGTCTGAACTCTCCTGGAGCGTTTTTAAGAGCATATATTGACCGGCCTTTACTGCTTCAAACATGCTTCTCCAAACACGTAAATCCACACGCAGGGGCATAAATCTACATGTTGGAATATCACGACAAACCGTCCGTGTGGAGCGGCAAAAAACACACAAAACAGGCTTATGATCGCGCTTTGATGTAGATTGTCTATTTGTGTGAGATCATTACTGGCACCGAGTCCAGATTAGAAACTTTAAACGGTTGCCATGGGAGACGCTCTTCTCCTGTGGTGTGCCAAAAGGTCAAGTCATTATTCAGTCTGATGCTGAAGCTTCAAAAATAAACAAAGATGGCTGAGCTGCGTTGGGAGTTTAATACTGCAGGTGGAGGAAGCCGGCTGATTGGCGGGTTCGGGTGGATGGATGGGCGGTTAGACAGAGGCTCTTAGGCATTTAAGCTGTCACATACAATAGAAGGTGACAGTTATAATTAATAGGCTGATCCGTACGTGTGAAGGTACAGCACATGTGTATTGAATGATTGCTGCAAACACTCTGCTCTGGCACTCAGTACTGCAGTAAGCACATTAAAGAAGAATCTGTCACTGAGCTCATGGGTGAGCACGCCACCCCACCACCCACCCCACAAGCTGATGGATGATAGCAGAGAGTGTGTATCTGCATACATAGGCTCGGCTCTGCGTGGCTTTCAATTAAAACTGTCAGGAACATGCACTCAGCGCCCCGTCGAGATAAAGGTAGGCAAACAAATCAATATGCAAGGAGGGAAGCATTCCTGTAAAACTAACATTCCTGCACATACGCACTTTCTGCATGTCAAATTCCCATAAAAACACACATATATCCTAACTGTGACAACCAATGGCGCACTTTGCATTCACAAAACATGCGTGCAGCCATGCATCACGTTCTAAACAAATAAGACGAACATGTAAGGTAACGGTGTCTGAGTGCACTGCGGTTGCACAAACACATACAGTACACCACTGCGAGGATCCCCGACTAGGATAATCGTCGCTGCTGTGACTCAAAAGACAACATATCCCCCAGCTTTAGAATTAGCATATTCATTATTTAACTGGGGAGCAGCTGGCTAATTGGCAAATGAAATGCTTTCAATAATGTTCACATGAGAAGCGGAATTTGATTAAACGGAATCCAGGGAAAATACTGGAAAAAGAAGAGGATAAAAATGACAACTTTTAGGATGTGAATAAAGTGGTATTCTGTGATGTAAGTGCTGCCATTGCACAGATGCACAAATGTAACCGTGTTTGTGTGCAAATAAAGAGAACCCAGTAAGTAGATGTTTGTCACAATGTGAGGGGAACGATCGCAATTTTCCAGCCGGCGCATTTGTAAACTCCAAAAACGACAAAAAAAAGGGAGGTGGGATATCAGATCTCAGCTCTAAAGCAGGTACTCCACGCTTTTAATGGACTGCCAAAGCCAACTGAGTCATGTCAGCTTTCTAAATCAGAAAAGAAGGAGGAGGGGAATCGGATGTGCTCGTAAAAATGCCCCCACGGTTCTCGTCTCTGCTCATTCGAGTTAATGACACACACTCTCAGCCCATCTATCAGGGTCTGTTTGATCCTGGTCAAGGGTATTAAACTTTAAAGGGTTCCCGCATTCACCAGTCCCCTGCCTTTCCTTTTGTAGAGGACAGTGCAGGGTTCGCTTGATTTGTGCGACCATCTGATAGCCAACAGAAAATGAGCCGTAAATATGGGGCCAAAGCGCCGGCGCCAAGCTGACACGGCTTTATCCAAAAATGCTTCACATCCATTTTGGCAATTTTTGCTACTTCTGATCGCCGACAAAAGGTGACATGTGTGTCAGAGGTGGTGCTGAGAGAGTGCCCAAGAGTGGGAGTGGAGCAGCGGGGTGGTGGGTCAGCTCTGGAGGGGGGTTGGACAGAGTGGTTGCATGGTTT